TTAAGAAATGATTTTTGGGGGTTTTAGTGAAAAATCTTCTTTTTTTGTTAAATTTTTAAAACGAATTGAGAATTTTGAACATTAAGAGAAGAAAATAATTAAGAATGTTTTTTTTTAAATAAATTGGGAGGTTTTTCTTTGATTTTTTTGGGATTTTGGTCACAAAAATCAACTTTTTTTGTTAAATTAAGATCACCTAATATGTAAAAAGACTTGAATTTAAAAAAAAAGTGTTTTTATATAATAAATTGCAAAGCTTTACTTATAAATATTTTTTACCCTCCTTTTTCATTAAGGTTTTCTCTAAAACATTTTTTTTTATACACCAATTCAGAATTTTGAGTAATAATTGGGCGATAAAAAGCTCTGAATTTCTGTTTTTGTTCAAGTTTTTCCTAAATTTTTTGCCTTTTACAAAAATCTAGGCATTTTGCTAAACTTTTAAAACTAATTGAGAATTTTGAAAATTGAGAAAAAATGTGTTTTTATTTGAATAAATTGCTCTTTTTTCAAGAAACATAATTGGGGTTTTTGGTTACAAAAATCTCCTTTTTTTAATTTTGAAAACTAGTGAAAGAAAACAGTGATTTTAAGCACAATTGGCAACGCTGCCAAAATTACCCAGTGATATAGATTTTTTCGATTTGGTGCAGTGTCATTTCTTTGTTTTCCTCACTCACTTGATTTTTGCAGTGTTTTTTTTTTTTGGTACTTGTACAGAAATTTTGAAATATTAAACTTGAGTGTATCTTTCTTATCATTTTATTGAGATAATAAGCTCGAGTAAATAATGATTTAGTTTTACCTAAATTTTATAAGAAAAAATCCCCACCGATCGCACCCATATGAACCGGATCACAATTCATCAGAAACTGACTCACACTCACATAGAGTGAGCGTCGCGACGGAAAGCACCGAGACGCTATTGATTTGGTAACTAGAATAATACGTCATCCACCTACGATGTACCCGATTTATGTTCGAAAAATGTACCACACGCGGTACAATGAATGAAAAATTAAGAAAAAAAAAATACCTACAATTGCAATCTAAAAATAAGTTTCTAGTTTAATTTTCTTTGAAAGGTTTTTAGGGAATAATTCGAAGAGTTACTTACTTTTTAGGCCTCATATCACATCAAACATCTCAAACGTGATTTGCACAGAAAAATCAAAACAATTACATTGTCTATTAAAACACAGATTGGTTTATTTGTGGAATTTTTTTACTTAAAGACGGCTTTCCAAAAGGGCAATGGCGTTCACTGGATGGATCTAGGCAACCAGTATTGATTATGCGCAGAAATGATGGCAGGATGACCCTTTTTGGCAAAAAAATTCATTTTTGTAAAAAAAACAAATTTACAAAAGAGAAGCACTTCAATTATTAAAAAAAAAACACTCTATCATCCATCATTGTGACATAAATGTATAAAATTGTTACATTTGCGTCAAATTCAATTTCTTTCAGCAAATAACGTTAAAATGAAATTTATTTAAAATTTGAATGTTTTAATTTCCCTCTTTTTCCTAGTGATTTTCGTGTTGGCACACTAAATGTTTTTTTAACGTTTGTGTGTCATTTAAATATGAAAAGTGGTTCAATGGCTGTTCACTTTGTTCCTAAATTGACTCAATTCGAACATTAAATAATAATTTTTGTGTTTTTATTAAAAATGCTTTGAATTTGTCACTGGTGATTTTCGTGTTATCAGGTTGGGTGTGAGTGGTTTGTCGGCAAAATGGCGTCGTCAATGGTGTAAAAGTGTTGTGTTTGTGTATTTTTAAAGAATCTCATTTAAAATAGATCTGTTTTTTAATTAGTGTAGTGAAAAATGGCTCTTCCAGCCAATTACAAGCAAGTAGCGATGCAAATGCCTAGCCCCCAAACAAACCGTAAGAATAAAATTGCAACAAATGCATTTTTCCAAATATTGAAATTATTTTACGCGTAGATTTTCCAATTAGTTTATTGAAAATGTTGTATTTCGAGTAAAATCCAGTAAAGAAGCTTGCCGTTCGCATGAGTATTTTTTGTAAGACGCTATTTTATTATTATTGTTGAAATGAGAGAAATTATAATAGCATGATTTAAATGCTATGGTTTATAAATTTTCTCACTAACACTCTGATTTTATAAACCATAGTAGAGAGTCTTTTTTTGTAGAATAGTGCTGATGATATGCTTTGTTTGTGTTTGTTGTTCAGATTTGCTGTCGGCAGGCCTGCCCATGACTTTCAACATATTGAAAGGTAACTGTAATTCTTCGTTTTATTAACATTTTACAGAAATTTCAAACAACATTCTTCTAAAATTAAGCTTTGCTTCGTTTTTCATCATTAGGGGAGGCTTCACCAAACGCTCGATTGGACGAAACAATATTTTCATCCAATCAAGCATGCCTTGAATTACATTTCAAATTAAGTTGGCAACATTGACCATCAAATGGCACTTGTGATGAGCAGTGTTGCCAGATTTGGTAAAAATTCTAATTTGTGATCATTTTTTGTTCCAGCAGTATTTTTTAGTAAAATTTGATTTTTTAATTATTGGTATAGTCAATTCAGCCTCTTTTTTGTATTATTTTGCTCGTTTTTTAGCCATGCAGAAAGTCAAATGCTAAATTTTCACAAAAAGAAGTTGAAAAATCGAGAGATAAGTTTCTTTTTCTAAGTATTTTACTCAACAAGGTAAAAAAATCGCTAAAATGGGTCAAAAAGTACATTATTTTATGCATTTCACAGCGTTTTGGTATGTTTTTAGCCAGAAACAGAACTATTTTGCAAAATTTCGTTAAAAACAAACCGAAAATTCATCAAATTAGGCCAAAACTAGTGCTATTTTTGCATTTTTAGTTTTTTTTTTTTGCTAAAACTGAAATACCAACTAAAACTAAAATACCAAATTAGATTGAAATCGATATTATTTTTGCGTGTTTCACTCGATTTAGTTCGTTTTTGGACCAGATACTTATTTATTTTGACAAAAAAATAGGACGAAAAATACAAAATATGGTCAAAAATGGTGTTAATTGCAAAAAAACATCAAATTAAGTCATTATTTTTGCCTTTATCATGTGTTTTAGCATGTTTTTCGAGTAAAAAAGTGACTGTAAATGATTTGGTATCAAATTTAATTTTTAATTAATTTAATTCTTGGTCCAAAGTCCAAAAAAATCGCAAATTGCATTAAAAATGTCGTTCTTTAGGACTTTTTTTACTTAATTTAGCTTGTTTGTGAGCTGGAAACGCAATTTTTCATAAAATTTCCCTGAAAAACATTAAATTAGATCTAAATTGGTGTTATTTTTATCTTTTTAGTAAAAAAATATGTTTTTTTTTCAAATATCTAAATGTTTGATTATTTAAATGATTCAGAAAATATGATAAATATTTTATGACCCGCCACTGGACGGAATTTTTGTTACTATGACGACTTTCATATTTACAACTTGTTACTATAGTTACTGTATGTATTTCCATAGCAACAATACAAACCTTCTGACATGTGCGACTCGTTTAGGATGAAAAAAAGGGAAGTCTTTTATTAAATACATAACAGGATTTTTATAGACGTAACAAAAACTAAATTAGGTCGAAAATTACTTTTTTGAACGTTTTTGCACGCTTTGCGAGAAATTTCGCTAAAAAAAATCACCAAATTTGGTCGAAAATAGTGTTATTTTTACTTTCTTAGGACATTTTTGCTCCAAAGTCCAAAAAAAATCGTTAAATTAAGTTGCAAATGATGTTTTTTTGTTTTCTTTTTTCAATGTAAAAACTGAGTTTTTGCTTTTTTTTAGTTTTCGCAAACTTTTCAGTCAAAAATGCATTTTTTTTAAAGAAATTAGGTTCAAACAAACCGAAAAATTATCAAATTTTGCTCGATTTAGGTCATTTTTTTGAAAGATTTTTTCAAAACAACCAAAAAAAAAACATCAAATTAAGTCATTATTATGTGTTTTAGCATGTTTTTCGAGTAAAAGGTGACTGTAAATGATTCGGTGTCAAATTTAATTTTTAATTTGGCAACCTTGACTTTCAAATTTAAACGTCAAACTTTTATAGGCAATTGTCATTCATTTGTAACGGGCAACTGCTGAACACTCTGATATAACAAATTTAGAAGGATTACCACTAATTCAGTGTTGCCAATAGATTTTTTGTCACTGGGTATTTCACAAAATTTAATTAAAAACTAATCCTGTAGTAAAGTGAGACTTTTCAAAACATCTTGCTACAAAAGACACTTGGGGAGACTAAGAAAGTGTCAGATGTACTGGATTAAAAAATTTCTAGACTTGCAAAAAACATTTAAAAATTTCTTAAAGAAATACTTAAATTAAAAAAATGTCAATTCAGGACAATATAAAAAAAAATGGTAAATTTAATTGTTTTGGGTGTCAACACTGGTGCTGAGTTTTTCAATGTTGCCAACAGAATGTCAGTAGACTAGCTAATTTTAGGCTTAGTAGTTGCACTTTAACAAGGTTTTTTTTTTCATTGATTTTTTTAATAGTTAAGGTAAGTAGTTGGGTGTTTTGAGTCATTGTTGCACGATTTGGTTTTTGTGAAAATTTAAAATGAAGAAATGTTTTTATTCTAGAGCGTTTGAGAGCGTCTGGTGGTTCAGGATCTGGATCAAATGTAAGTTTTAATTTTATTTATTTTTTTTTCTTTCTTATCTGTATTTATTTAAGCAACAGGTCAATAAATCCTACAGTTGTTTTTACAGAAAGAAACAAGTCCGTTTGTAACAACGCCGAATGGCCACCCTGGTTTTTTACCACAAAAAGTGGGAAAGAGTTCGTCGGTGAGTGTTTCTGTCTTTCTCATAGACTCGACTTATCTACTGATAATTCTCAGTTTATCTAGAACAAATAATATTTACGTATCTAAAAATTGTTATAATTTAAGCGTGATGCAGCGCTACGGTAACTATTATTACGATTACAACTCGTATTATTATTACAATAATAATTACAACAATCAGTACAAAAGTCATTTTAATTATTACTATGTACCGGTGAGTTTTAGTTTCTCTAACCTCGAAATGAAACAATTCTATGCTTTTTTATTTGTTTATAGAACGATTCACGGACCCCTAAGCCCCCCAAAGCCCCCGAGAAGCCTCTCATGCCCTACATGAGATACAGTCGAAAAGTTTGGGATACGGTGAAAGCTCAAAATCCAGATTTGAAATTATGGGAAATCGGAAAAATCATCGGTCAAATGTGGAGAGACCTTCCCGAGGACGAAAAAAACGAATTTGTTGAAGAATACGAAAGTGAAAAGGTTAATATTTCGTTACAAAACAAAACACAAATATAACATTGTTTTTTTTTTTTTTCAGTTAGAGTATGAAAAAACCCTGAAAACTTACCACAACTCGCCGGCTTATCAGGCATTCATCGCTGCTAAAAATCGAGGTAAAAGTGGTAAGTTTTCTTTCAGAAATGAAAATTTTTTTGTAATAAAAATTCTAGGTAATGATAGTGACTCGCATGACCGGAGTAGTTCGTCATCTAAACAACAAGGCGTCGATCGACGGATCGAAATTCAAGCTGCCGAAGACGAAGATGGTAATAATTTTATTTCCCAACAGGGAATAAAGTGACGCTTTATTCTCTTTGAATTAAAATGCCCTCGGCTTTGTTCGGACGCCGCTGGCATAATGTTTCACCAGATTTGGTGATTTTTCTACTAGTTTGAAAACTTTTGTAAAAATTCCAATTTCTGATGATTTTTTTGAAACGTTTGAAATAATTATTTTAGTAAAATTTGATTTTTTTTAATTATTGATATAGTAAATTCAATCAAAAATGATGACACTATTTTTTAGCTACGTAGAAACTCAAATACAATTTGTTTTTTTAAACAAGTTGAAAAACCGAGATTTTCTTTTTCTAAATTATATTTCACTCAACAAGATAAAAAAAATCGCTAAAATTGATCAATTATTTTGTCCATTTCTGAGGGTTGTATGTTTTTAGCCTGAAACAGAATTACTTTTCAAAATTACGTTAAAAACAAACCGAAAATTTATCAAATTATGCAAAAACTAGTGTAATTTTTGCATTTTTAGAGTTAGATTGAAATCGATATTATTTTTGCGTGTTTCACTCGATTTTTGGACCAGATACTTATTTATTTTGCAGAATATTGTCAAAATATGCTTAAACGCAACAAAAATAAATCTAAATTGATGTTATTTCGTTTGTTTAATTCGATTTAGCTCTTTTTGAGTGAAATTTTGTCAAAAAAAAAATAGGACGAAAAATACAAAATATGGTCAAAAATGGAGTTAATTGCAAGATTTTGCTAAAACAAACCAAAAAAACATCAAATTAAGTCATTATTTTTGCCTTTATTATGTGTTTTAGCATGTTTTTCGAGTAAAAAGATGACTGTAAATGATTTGGTATCAAATTTAATTTTTAATTAATTTAATTTTTGGTCCAAAGTCCAAAAAAATCGTTAAATTAAGTTGCAAATGATGTTATTTTGTTTTTTTTTCAATGTAAAAACTGAGTTTTTCCTTTTTTTTTCGTTAGTTTTAGCAAACTTTTGAGTCAAAAATGCACTTTTTTAAGAAATTAGGTTCAAACAAACCGAAAAATTATCAAATTTTGCTAGATTTTGTCAAAACAACAAAAAAAGCACCAAATTGCATTAGGACTTTTTTTACTCAATTTAGTTTGTTTGTGTGCTGGAAACGCAATTTTTCATAAAATTTCCCTGAAAAACATTGAAATTAGATCTAAATTGGTGTTATTTTTATCTTTTTATTAAAAAATGATGTTTTTTCTTCAAATATCTAAATGCTTGATTATTTAAATGATTCAGAAAATATGATAAATATTTTATGACCCGCCACTGGACGGAATTTTCGTTACTATGACGACTTTCATTTTTACAACTTGTTACTATAGTTACTATATGTATTTCCATAGCAACAATACAAACTTCCTGACATGTGCGACTCGTTTAGGATGAAAAAAAGGGAAGTCATTTGTTAAATACATAAAAAGATTTTTATAGACGTAACAAAAACTAAATTAGGTCGAAAATTACTTTTTTTTGAGCGTTTTTGCACGCTTTACGAGAAATTTCGCTGAAAAATGACCAAATTTGGTCGAAAATAGTGTCACTTTTATTTTTTAGGACATTTTTGCTCCAAAGTCCAAAAAAATCGTTAAATTAAGTTGCAAATGATGAAAAACTGAGTTTTCGCTTTTTTTTTTTTCGTTAGTTTTAGCACACTTTTCAGTGAAAAATGCACTTTTTTAAAGAAATTAGGTTCAAACAAACCGAAAGTTATCAAATTTTGCTCGATTTAGGTCATTTTTTTGAAAGATTTTGTCAAAAAACCAAAAAAACATCAAATTAAGTCATTATTTTCGCATTTATTATGTGTTTTAGCATGTTTTTCGAGTAAAAAGTTGACTGTAAATGATTTGGTGTCAAATTAAAAATTTAAGTTGGCAACCTTGACTTTCAAATTCAAACGTCAAACTTTTATAGTTAATTGTAATTCATTTGCGACGGGCGGTTTGTGATTTAGCCGTCACCTGGAAACAAATTTAGAAGAACTACCACTAATTCAGTGTTGCCAATAGATTTTTTGTCATCTGGTATTTCTAAAAATTTAATTAAAAACTAGCCAAAAAATTATTTTTGCATTTTTCGAGTGTTGAATTTATCTTGTCATCTGGTGAAAATAGGTGTAAATCTGGTAATTTTTCAGCTCAGATTTGGTGAATTGAATTGTTTTAAGCTGGCAACACAAAGTAATTTTGTGTTATTTAAAATTTTTTTTTGGCCTCCTGACATGTAAATGTCAAATTAACGTACAATTGACACCTATTGAAAGACTGTATTTACAGTCGCCTGAGCATTTTACGCACAGACGAGTGTAAAGTGACAGTTTTACCGCACGGCCAAAATTATCTTCATAGACTTTTATAAAAAAAAAACTGTTTGTAAGATGATAACATTTTTAATAAAACGCTCTACACACAACCTTTCAATCTTAGAACTCTTTTTTCTTCACACCACTTTATAATTATAAACACATTGTACTGGGCTTCATACCTTGCTCGCGATTTTTCGGGCAATAGCTCGGTTGTAACATTTCCTGCAGCACTTCTGATTTCTGGTGGGGTACACATGGGGCTATTATCGCTCGACATTTTGAAGCATAAATTCACCAACAAGACAACAATAACAAAACTTTGTGTCTGAGACGTTTTTGCGTCTTTTTTAATTGTTTGACATTAGAGTGCATAGCCACCGTGATATTTAATGTCAAACGTATTTACTTGTATTAATTCTGAATTTTGTAGATTTTTGTTTAAACGTCGGCCAAAAAGCTTAATACAAATCTTGTGCGTTAACCATTTTACAGTGCTCAATTATTAAAGCACTCCGCTGCGCGTCGTGCTTCAAATTCATTTCGCACTGTAAAATGTAAGTTACCGCACACGAATGTAAATAACTATTGTGTAATTAGACCAAGACGACGGCTATTCGGTCAAGCACGTCTCCTACGGCCGCTTCCTGCGCAACCACCGCCTCATCAACGAGATTTTCTCCGATACTGTGGTCCCCGATGTGCGATCTGTCGTCACCACAGGTCGCATGCAAGTCCTTAAACGTCAAGTTCAATCCTTAACAATGCATCAGAAAAAACTCGAAGCCGAATTGCAACAAATCGAAGAACGATTTGAAGCGAAAAAACGCAAATTTATCGAAAGTAGTGAACAATTTCAAGAGGAACTTAAAAAACATTGTAAACCGGCCGTCGATGAAGAAACATTTCAAAAAATGGTCGAACGACAATACGATTTATTGAAAAAGGAAAGAATGAAAAGTCTCGAAGAACAGAAACCGAAACCGGAAGAAAATGGTACGGCCACGCCCACCGAATTGGCGGCGGCCAATACGCAATCGGAACAACCGACACAGCCCACACAAGAGGGACAGCCCCAATCTGAGGTATCTTGATCAATTACAAGGGGTTTTGAAATGTACCAAACACACCCACTTGCGACGCCTATGGAAAAGCTGTCATTTCATATTTGTTGCTATGGTAATATTGAATGTTTCTATGGTAACTAATCGTATTAGGGTCCAGAGGCGTGCGCTTTTTTGCGTCTGGTACATTTATGTTTATTTGAGCAATATTGAAAATAAAAGTAGTTCGAAATGGGATGGTCATCACACATAAACAGATTAAGTTACTTTTGTAATACATAGAAAATAAGATAGTCTGTTTGTGTTTGTAGATTGTTTATCTTTTAATGTGTTTCCATGTTGAATCGAAGTTTGTTTTAAACGATTCAGCATGGAATTTTATTTTCATTTTTTCTTTTGCTAAAAAACTACTTTCATTTCATTAATTGTTCTTCATTCGTGTTTCATACATTTAAATTTAGTTTCTTTGTAGTGTTTCCTTGACCCAAGTAGATTTGAAATAAAGTTTGTTTTTTACTATTTTTTTCTTTTTTATTATACAAACAAATTTAAACCAGTGTTTCTTATAGCTACTAACTTGGTGTTGGTGAATTTTGCATGAATGACCATCCTGTTTACCCCAATTGTGACTTTCTGTCTCATGTAGCAAAAATTTTTCTTGCAATGTCAGCCGTTAGTGCTCCACTGCATCCAGGTAAAAAAACTTGTTTATTTTTAACAATTTATTTACGAAAAAAAAAAATCATAAGAAAATTTCATGACAGCCAATGGAGCAAGACGAAAAGGCCGACAATCCATCTCCGCCGCCGCCCCCAGAAAACAAAGAAACTCCCGATCATAAACCGCCCCCACCGGAACAGCAGCCCCCAATTGAGCACATGCCGCCCCCCATGCACCACCACATGCCTCCAGCACCGAATATGATGCCACCTGGACAAGTCCCCTATCAACAGTACCCCCAAAATAGCCCCCAGACTGTTCCTCTGCCTCCCCGCCCCCCACATCCGGCTTATGCATACCCCCAACAACAAGGGTACTACTCCCCGCAATACCCCCCTCACACTTACTACCATCAGCCTTATCCGCAGTACCATAGACCGCATTTGTACCCACCTCATGGGCCGGTGCCTGATGGACCACCGAATTCGGAGGGTCATGGCCCGGCACCCATTTATGGGGGCCCTGCACCCGCCGAAGCTGAAAGGGTGCAACCGACAGCGGAAGAGGAAACGACTAAACATGGTATTTTTTTTCCACCATTGGTGATTCAAATTGTTGAGTTTTTTCGTTTCAGAGGGCAGCACTGAAGTTCATGCACCAGAAAAGGACAAGAAAGAAGGGGAATAAATGGATTTTTTTGGTTATTTTTGCAATAAATTGGAGTGGAGGTAACTGTTGCGTTGGCTCATTTAAAAATTTCCTTTCCTTGTTTTTTTATCAAATCAATTTGAACGCCCCTTTTTCGTCCTAAACGAGTCGCACATGTCAGTCAGTTTAATATTGTTGCTATGGAAATGTATTGTAACTATGGTAACAATCTCTTGTTGTTATAGTAACAATAGAAAAGTCCAGTGGCGGGTAGTAATTTTTTTTAATAAATAAAATCACCAGTTTTTTAATCAGTTATAATAATGTAAATTACGACTCACTTGGGTTTTTTTCGGCCAAATTGTATAATAATTGGCTTATTTTTTATAACAAGTCCATTGTATTGATCAATTATATGTCCAGCTGTTTTTTCATCTAACAAAAAAAAAATTAGTTGATTATTTGATGAGTTTCAACCCTACCTGTCATTTCAATAAAAACTTGTCCTTGCATTCGTCCAGTCATGACTCGAATTGATAAAATTTCCTTTGTAAATTTTTGGAAAACTCGCTCAAGGTCACTTTGAGCAACACCATTCGCTAAGTTTTTTAAAAATAAAACACTACACGGCGTTCCTTTATCGTAGTTTTGAAATTTTGGTATTTTTCGAATTTCTTCAATCGATAATTTTTTCTCAGGTGTGTGATTTATTTGAATAATTTCACCGTCTTTGATGGTGTAATAATTCTGTGATTTACAAGTGTACGTTTTTGGTTCTTTTTGTGGTGGGGTGGTAACACTTATTTTCGAATCCCATTTAGTGTGAAGACTTTGGTTTTGTATGATTGGTTCGTTTGGGGGATTCACCGATGAGTTGATTTGTTTGGCCAAACGTCTGGCTTTTTTTCGAATTTTTTTAATATTAATCGGAGATGAATCGTTGATTAATTGTTGTTCCACATTTTTGAGTTGGTCCATGGGGCCCCCATGCGTACTTTTTCGATGATCATTTTCAAGCGCGAATTTTAACAATTTAGTTTCAACACTTGTGGGTTTTGTTGATAAAAGTAGTTCGGTTTCGAGGCGACCAACACAATTTTTCCTGAAAAATCACATGAAAAAAACTGAAACAAGAAAGAAAGAAATACGTTTGCTCCTCCTCCTCATTTCTAGTCTCATTTAGTTTGTGAAAAATTCCTTCAAGTTGTGTTTTTACAACATCTCGATTGATATTTTTGTGTCTAGTTTCCAAATTACCACTTTTGTAACACTTAAATAACTCAATTTCGTCATTATTCAAACCTTGCGACTTGAATTCTTCCAAATTTTTTAAATCTCCCACTAGAGAACTAAATTCTTGCAAAGACTTGGACCCAGAGGCATAATTCGTCAAAGACACCAATTCCGTTGATCGACAAAACGAATTTTTCAACGAAAGTTGTCTAAAAATAACATAAAAATAACATTTTATGACACAACAAACTTACTCTTCCAAATTAATTGAAGTGTTTAGCTGTTTTTCGGATAGTTTTTTTATGTAAATGTCGGCGTCTGAAACCAATTTCTTTTCAGGGGGCTCATCCTCGTAGTTATGAATGCGTTTTTTCTTGAACGAATCGCTCAATTTGTTGTACATTTTGCCAAATATTGAGGTTATGTCAAGGTCAGCAGTGGGAAAATAATCAATAAAACTGTAGCAAGCTTTAAAATGCTAAAATGAATGGTTATTTGAGACTATTGACCAAGAAAACACATTTTTAATTTAAAAAAAATCATGGAAGTGGCTACAGTTACCACACCAAAATTGACAGATTTATGTGTTATTCCTATAAATTTTTGGAATAAAAATGATTTTTTTTAACTTGTTGCCTTTACAATTGCTGAATAAATCGTTAAATCATCTCATTAATAAATTGACAAAAAATCTTGAAAGTGGGTAAGGTTACGATTCCATGAAAAACGTTTATTTTTCAGAATTTTTTTTAAACAACAAAAATGAATCAACTTTTTTGTTAGCAAGCTTTAAAATATTAAAATGAATGGATATTTGTGACCATCGACTAAGAAAACACATTTTTAATTAAAAAAACAGCATGGAAGTGGCTACAGTTACCATACCAAAATTGACAGCTTTATTTAAAATCAATTATTTCTGTAAATTTTTTCAATAAAAATGACCTTTTTTCGGATTTGTTTGCCAAATCAGTCGTTAAATCATCTCTACCATAAATAAATTGGAGAAAAATCGTGAAAGTGGGTAAGGTTACGACTCCATGAAAAAACTTTATTTTTCAGTTTTTAAAAAAAAAAAATGAATTATTCTTGCAGATTTTGAATAATGTCCCTCGCCCTTTCCATTTTACACGTGTTTTTATTTTCGTCATCTTCCCCCTCGATTATTTTCAGGGCTTCTTTCAGCATTACATCTCTTGATTTCCCTTTCGAATTTGAAAAATACTCAACTAGAGTTTCCCAAAATTCTTGTGGTACTTTTGACTCGTCATACATGTTGTGTTGTAACCAAATTTGTCTCAACTTTTCAAATTTCCATTCTTCACGGTCATGTTTCCATTTGGATAAATAATTCAAAGCTTTTTCTTGCAACGCCAATTCGGCTTTAATCTTCTTTTCTTCAACAAGTTTAGCGTGTTTTTTACGCTTTCTCTCCCTTATTGATTCCGTCTTTTTCGGTGATTCTTCTTCTTTTTTCTTCTTTGTTTCAGGTTCTTCATTACTTTGATTTGCTTCCTTTTTCCGCTTCTTGGACTTCTTCTCAATTTCAGAATTTTTTATTTCATTTGTTAGTAATTCTTCAGCAACGTGTTTCGGGACCACTTCTTCATCAAAACAAATCACATTTGACTTTTTTTTATGCTTCTTTTTCTTCATTTTTTCTGATTCTTCGACAGCCATTTTTTGAGGTTATAAACGTGACAGGTAGTTCCAGTGTCCACAAAGTTAAAAAAACACAAATTATTTTTAATTAAATTTGCAAGTTTTGAGCTTCGGTCTGTTAATAGTTTTAAAGTTACGCAAGCAATGACGATAATTGACAATAATTATTGTTTTAATGGTAGAAATAATGTATCAACCCGTAGCTTAAATGGTCTAGTTCAATTTGATCTACTAAAATTTGTATTTTCATTCCTTGCTCATGTTTGCGATTTATTGGTTAAATATTATTAATAATAATAGTATTTTTGCAACATTGCGCAACCAAAACAAAAAATTACGATAACTGAAATGGTAGTTTCAATGCGTCGTAGTTGAAACGTTTTAGTGTAATTTAACCTAATTAATATTTTCATTTCTTGATAATCTCATTTGTATTTTGTGCGATTTCGGTGTATTTTTCTATTTTCCCCGTTGTTTTATTTTTATTTTTAACATTGACAAATTGAACGTAAAATAATTGTAGTAGTTGTCATGTATCATGCCGTAGTTCAAATGTTTGAATCCAATTTAACCTACTTAATATTTTCATTTCTTGTTGATCTCTCGTTTATATTTTGGGTGATTTCGGTGTTTGCTCCCCTTCAAACACCCAAAATTGCAGTGTTTTTTGAAAAATTGAGGTTATGGCACGCCCCAACACAATTTTCGACTCAGCTCATAAAGGTGATTTCGAACTTGTAAAAACCAAATTGGAGGAAGACCCTACTTTGTTAACAAAAGTGGACGAAGTGAGTAGAAAACTGTATTATTTGAGTGTGTTTTTAAAAAAAAAACACTTGTAGAATGAGCGACTTTTGTTGCACTGGTGTTGCGTGGGGGGTAATTACAAACTCGCCACACATTTAATCGAATTGGGGTCCCCAATCGACGCCCGCGACGACACCGATACAACCCCCTTGATCCTTGCAGCCTCGGCAGGCCATACCGAAATCGTGAGTCTTTTGCTCGAAAAGGGGGCCAATGTGAACCAGCAGTCGGGTGAGGGGCACTCTGCTTTGCAATACGCCGCCTCCAAAGGCTGGTTTTCGGTAAATTTCCTCATTTTTTGATAGAGAAATTAAGTGGTTTTTGACAGATTTGTGCCAAGCTTCTCGAATATAAAGCCAATGTTAATATAAGTGATAAACGGGGGGCTACTCCACTACATCGAGCCGCTTCTAAGGGTAATCTAGAGATTGTCAGACTGTTAATTGATAGCCCCCAACGTTTAATAATCAATTCACGTGACGCTTATGGTTTTACACCACTTCATTTGGCTTGTGAGGAGGATCGACAAGATGTTGCGAAATTATTGGTCCAAAATGGGGGCGATTTGGAGACGAAAAATCGAGATGGGCAAACGCCCCTTGATTTGTGTACAATGCATTTGAAAAAAGCGCTCGAAATTATCAAATCAAAGATACAATAAATTTTTTGTGACTCAGCAATTTGTGTGTGTGTGTTATACAGGGTGTTTGAATAATCATATTTATTTGAAAATTGGTATATAGTCATAATCGATTAAGTCCTCATAAATGAGAATATTTTCAAGATGGTGGCACTTCCGGTTATACCGGAAGTCGGTCTCAAGTGTCTTATTTTAAATGGGAAGGTATATTTTTTATTGCGTAAAATTTGTGGATCTGCACCTTACACTTTAAAAATCGATAACTCTGCTATTTTTTGAGATTTTGAATTCGTTTTTTTGGCGTTTGAAAGAGGAAGTTTAGATCTTTCTTCCGGTGTTTTCAAATTTTGAAAAAAAAATTTACAAACCATGAAATTTTAAGGTTACTTTTGTAATAATTCAAATAGCCATAACTCAATTTTTCCAAATGAAATACCCCAATTTTTATTTTATAAAATGGAAGAGAATTTAATTCTGCATCGATCTGTATTAACATTCCCTATACCTAAATTTAATAATTTGGACAAAAAACAAATAAGAAAAAAGCATTTTTTTGTTCTTTTTTTTTCTTTTCTGTTACCTATTTATCTAAATTTGAGAGAAATTTGCCCAAACAACGCAAACAATTTCAAAAGTGAAATGCGTCATTTTTGTTTCTTTTTAAAAATTCAAAGCATTTTTTATATAGAAATTCACAAAATTCGAGAAATTAACTAAAACAAGGCAGAAAATTGCGAAACTAAATTTAGAAATGGGTTTTTTCTTATTTTTAGAAATCCAAACCGTTTTTTTTTAATTTTATTGAAATTGAAAAATATCGTTAAAATAACACCAAAAATTGCAAAATTAGGTGAAAAATTTGTTTTTTTTATTAAGTTTTGGAGTGTTATAAACAATTCCTAGAAAGTTTGTCAAAGCAAAAAAGAAAATTCTAAAAGTATGTCTAAAATAGCTTAATTTTAATTATTTCGACAAATTTTTAGCACTTTTCATCGAAACATTTTTTTATTATTATTAAAAATGCTTTTTTCTTATTTGTTTTTTGTCCAAATTATTAAATTTAGGTATAGGGAATGTTAATACAGATCGATGCAGAATTAAATTCTCTTCCACTTTATAGAAAAAAATTGGGGTATTTCATTTGGAAAAATTGAGTTATGGCTATTTGAATTATTACAAAAGTAACCTTAAAATTTCATGGTTTGTTAATTTTTTTTTCAAAATTTGAAAACACCAGAAGAAAGATCTAAACTTTCTCTTTCAAACGCCAAAAAACGAATTCAAAATTTTAAAAAATAGTAAAGTTACCGATTTTTAAAGTGTAAGGTGCAGATCCAAAAATTTTAAAAAAACTCGAAATATTTCAAAAACGGCTAAATTTAGGTATAGGGAAAGCTGATGAAAACTCTCCTAAAATAACCCGATTAATCCAAAAACACAGAAAAAAATATACCTTTCCATTTAAAATAAGAAAGTTGAGACCGACTTCCGGTATAACCGGAAGTACTACAATCTTGAAAATATTTTCATTTAGGAGGACTTAATGCATTATGGCTATGTACCAATTTTCAAACAAATATGATTATTCGAACTCCCAATACTTCTAATGCCCGGTTTAGACCGAACACTCTGTATTTACTTTGCAAAGGTTCCTGAACCGATAAATGTTTCCCCATTTGCCCGAATTTTGATAAAAAAAGTGCAAGTCAGAGATGAGAAAAAAATGTAACACTTATATTTTATTACTGAATTAACTGTACAATATTTCGTGACTTATAATAATCAACGTTCTTTATAAACAAGCAAAATCTTGTTACTGACTTCAACATGATATAATTTAATCGGAAAAATGAATAATTAACAAATAACTTGTGTCCAAGGTAACAAGAATTACAATAACAGTTTTGGACAAGAGATAGGCCTACGTACACACATACAAAGGCTTTTATTGTGAAGGATCGGGCGCCATCTTTGATTTTTTTTATCTCTAAACACCAAAATTTTAATCAAAGGTCACACTTGTTGGTGGTTTTTTTAAATTAAAGCAAAGATTTGGGAAAGGCATTTGGCGATCCGGAATCAGGTGATTCTGGTTCATCCTATAGAAAAAAAATAATTTAGTAGAAAAAATTAATTATGTGATTTTACCTGGGATACAATACTGGATCTGTTACTCGACACTCCTAAGTCACTAGTAAACGGAGTTCGCAATTTGACACTACCATTCGCTTCCGGGGGCTCAACTGTTGCACTCAAATCCACCGAAGAATCGCTGAAAAAAATTTTTTTTTTCATAAATAAAAAAATATTACCCGCCACTGGACACGCATATTTATTTGTTTATTACCATAGCAACTATACAATTTTTGTATCATTCTGAATTGTTACTATGGAAACTTGTATTTGTTATCATGGGCGTCTCGTCTGGGGTGGAACAAGGGACACCCACCCAGGTGAAATTTTTTAGTAGTTGATGATTTGGTGAAAACTTTTTTAAAAATTCTTATTTCTGATCATTTTTTGGGGCAGAAAATTAATGTATTTTGAAATAATTTTTTTTAAATAAATTTTGACCAAATTTGATAGTCTGAGGTTTAGGAGGAATTATAAATTTTGACAAAATCTTTTTTAGTAAAATTTGATTTTTTAATTATTGATATAGTAAATTTAGTCAAAAATGATGACACTATTTTTTTGGATATTTTTGAGCATTTTGCACGTTTTTTAGCCATGCAGAAAGTCAAATGCCAAATTTTCTCAAAAACAAGTTGAAAAATCGAGAGATAGTTTTGTTTTTCTAAATATTTCACTCAATAAGGTAAAAAAATCGCTAAAATGGGTCAAAAAGTACATTATTTTGGGGATTACTGAGCGTTTTAGTATGTTTTTAGAATTATTTTGCAAAATTTCGTTAAAAACAAGCCGAGAATTTATCAAATTAGCCCAAAACTAGTGTTATTTTTGCATTTTTAGAGTGGTTCAGCACGTTTTTTGCTAAAACTGACCGAAAAATTAAAAAATTTGATTGAAATCGATTTTATTTTTGTGTGTTTCACTCGATTTAGTTCGTTTTTGGACCAGATACTTATTTATTTTGCAGATTATTGTCAAAGTATGCTTAAACACAACAAAAATAAATCTAAATTGATGTTATTTTGTTTGTTTCATTCGATTTAGCTCTTTTTGAGTAAAATTTTGTCAAAAAAATAGGACGAAAAATATAAAATACGGTCAAAAATGGTGTTAATTCTAAAACAAACCAAAAAAAAACATCAAATTAAGTCATTATTTTCGCCTTTATTAGTGTTTTAGCATGTTTTTCGAGTAAAAAGGTGACTGTAAATGATTTGGTATCAAATTTAATTTTTAATTAATTTAATTTTTGGTCCAAAGTCCAAAAAAATCGGTAAATTAAGTTGCAAATGATGTTATTTTGTTTATTTTTTTCAATGTAAAAACTGAGTTTTTGCTTTTTTTCGTTAGTTTTAGCAAACTTTTCAGTCAAAAATGCACTTTTTTTAAGAAATTAGGTTCAAACAAACCGAAAAATTATCAAATTTCGCTCTATTTAGGTCATTTTTATTGAAAGATTTTGTCAAAACAACATAAAAAGCACCAAATTGCATTAAAAATGACGTTCTTTAGGACTTTTTTTTAGTCAATTTAGCTTGTTTGTGAGCTGGAAACGCAAATTTTCAATAAAATTACCCTGAGAAACATTGAAATTAGATCTAAACTGGTGTTATTTTTATATTTTTAGTAAAAAATAATGTTTTTTTCCCAAATATCTAAATGCTTGATTATTTAAATGTTTCAGAAAATATGATAAATATTTTATGACCCGCCACTGGACGGTATTTTCGTTACTATGACGACTTTTACTTTTACTACTTATTACCATAGTTACTATATGTATTTCCATAGCAACAATACAAACTTCCTGACATGTGCGACTCGTTTAGGATGAAAAAAGGGAAGTCAGTTGTTAAATACATAAAAGGATTTTCATAGACGTAACAAAAACTAAATTAGGTTGAAAATTACTTTTTTTGAGCGTTTTTGCACGCTTTCCGAGAAATTTCCCTAAAAAATCACCAAATTTGGTCGAAAATAGTGTTACTTTTACTTTTTTAGGACATTTTTGCTCCAAAGTCCAAAAAATCGTTAAATTAAGTTGCAAATGATGAAAAACTGAGTTTTTGCTGTTTTTTTCGTTAGTTTTAGGAAACTTTTCAGTCAAAAAATTATCAAATTTTGCTCGATTTAGGTAATTTTTTTGAAAGATTTTGTCAAAAAAACATCAAATTAAGTCATTATTTTCGCCTTTATTATGTGCTTTAGCATGTTTTTGAATTTTTCGCCAATATTAAAAAAATTTAAATCTGGTAACTTTTCAGTTCAAATCTGGTGAATTTAATTGTTTTGTGTGGTGACCCTGTAACAAGAGACACCCACCTGACTATGCTTCTCCGATCAGCGATGGCCACGTCCAATTTAAGCCTGTCGCCCCCATCTTCATCATCAAGCAACGGGAGTTCGTCCTCTTGCACCCCTCCACAGCCCCCCTTTTTCGCCCTCATTTCATGACACTCACATTTGCACTCTTCCGGATTGACATAATTATAGACAACATTGTCGACATTTTCGGCCACTTCAATGTGCCCCCTTGACGGTAGTGTTTGAATCCGTTTTGGCGCTTTTCTTCGTTCGGGGATTTCCTCAAAATTGATCCATTCTTTTTGCACCCCTTTCGGGGGCAACGGCGGCGGTGTTTCGTCTTGAGTCAGCGACGATCGTCGACCTGTGTGAATCCCCTTTTCGGCGAACTCGAACCAGTTCGTGGTGGTGGGGGTATTGCTGGGTTTTCTGGGTGATTTCACAGTTTTTTCAACGGATTCGTGTCTCGGAAGCGAGATTTTCAGTTTTTCAATGGTGGTGATGTTTGTGATGACGTCTTCGCAGTACTCTTCGAGACAGCTGGGGTTGATGGGGGTGGTGGAACGGGGGCGTTCAATGGGGCACGTTTTCATTTCGAAAGTCGAACGTTGTTTGATGGGGACGATGGGGAGAGCGGCGGAGCGTTCCTGAGGAAGGGTTGTGGGGACGTAGGGCAGCTCGTCGTCGTACGAGTCTTGCTGGGGGAGAAAAATTTATTTGTATGGAAAATGACGTTTATGGATCATTTTTCTTATTACCATCACAGACGTAACATTATGTAGATAGCGGGAATTGTTCTTGTCGAATTTAATTATTTTAAAGTCTAAAATTTAATCAAACTAGAGGGAAAGTACAAAAACTGTTTATTTTTGCTATCTCTGGACCGATTTCATTACTAGTGTGTTAAAATAATAAATTTGTGAGATTTATCAGACTCGTCTATCTATCTAACCATAACTTTTAGGTTATGTTACTAAGGCAGGAATTGTAATTATTATTTACGTGTGTTGTCTCTGGGTTGTTTTGAAGCATTATTTTGTGAATAATTTTTTTCAAAATTTTGCAAATGAGGTGTACAAATCTAGTTAAAGGCCCAAATTGTTAAAAATTTTGCATTCAAAATCTACACTTTCTAAACCACTGCAACTGAAAACGTATAGTTTTGACCAAATTTGCTTGCACCATTTGAAAGAGTTTCTTTTACTTTATTGTCTCGCCAAATTTCATAATAATCGGATAAAAAATAGAGTAGATTTCACAAAAAATCATTTTCCATACTTGAGGAACTTACTAGTTCTATTTTTTAGTCAAAAATTTAGTAAAACTAGAGAAAAAGCACAAAAACAGCTTATTTTTGCTATCTCAAGGCCGATTTCGTCACTGGTGTATTAAAATAATAAATTAGTGAGATTTATTTACGATAACTTTTAGGTTATGTTGCTATTGGAGGAATTGTAGTTATTATTTATGTGTTATGTGTTGTCTCTGGGTCGTTTTAAAGCATTATTTTGTGAATAAATTAGGCCAAATTTTGCAAATGAGGTGTAAAAATGCAGTTAAAGGCCCAAATTGTTAAAAATTTTGCATTCAAAATTTATACTTTCTAAACCACTGCAACTGGAAACGTACAGTTTTGACCAAATTTGTTTGCATTATTTGAAAGAGTTTCTTTCAATTTATTGTCTCACCAAATTTCATAATAATCGGATAAAAAATAGAGCAAATATTCACAAAAAATCATTTTCCATACTTGAGGAACCTACTAGTTCTATTTTTTTAGTCTAAAATTTAGTAAAACTAGAGAAAAAGCACAAAAACAGCTTATTTCCATGCCGATTTTGTCACTGGTGTGTTAAAATAATAAATTAGTGAGATTTATTTACAAAAACTTTTAGGTTATGTTGCTATTGGAGGAATTGTAGTTATTATTTATGTGTTATGTGTTGTTTCTGGGGTATTTTGAAGCACTATTCTATGAGTAAACTAGGCCAAATTTTGCAAATAAGGTGTAAAAATCTAGTTAGAGGCTGAAATTGTGAAAAATTTTGCGTTCAAAATTTATACTTTCTAAACCACTGCAACTGGAAACGTATAGTTTTGACCAAATTTGTTTGCACCATATGAAAGAGATTCTTTCACTTTATTGTCTCACCAAATTTCATAATAATCGGTCAAAAGATAGCGCAAATATTCACAAAAAATCATTTTCCATACTTGAGGAACTTACTAGTTCTATTTTTAGTGTAAAATGCAGAAAACTAGAGAAAAAAGAACAAAAAACAGCTTATTTTTGTTTCTCAAGACCGATTTCGTCACTTGTGTGTTAAAATAATAAATTAGTGAGATTTATTTACGATAACTTTTAGGTTATGTTGTTATTATTTATGTGTTATGTGTTGTCTCTGGGGCGTTTTGAAGCATTATTTTGTGAATAAATTAGGCCAAATTTTGCAAATGAGGTGTAAAAATCCAGTTAAAGGCTCAAATTATTAAAAATTTTGCTAAACCACTGCAACTGGAAACGTACAGTTTTGACCAAATTTGTTTACACCAAATGAAAGACCTCCTTTCACTCTACTGTCCCACCAAATTGCATAATAAACGGATAAAAAATAGAGCAAATATTCACAAAAAATCATTTTCCATACTTGGGGAACTTACCAGAACTAGTTCCTTCCGTTCTGGTTCGACGAACTCAAGATCTAGTTTCAAATCCAAGTCCTTTTTCTTCGGGACTTCGGCTTCCGAGTCGCGTTCCGATTCCGAAGAGACATCTTCTGGTGCTGAACTCAAATCCGGCTCTTTGGGCAATTTCGTGGAGAAGATTTCATTGTTGTTTCCTAAATTCGTTGAAAACACAACATTTTCACTACTTGTACTACTTTGTCTTTTTGGTTCCGAACTGTTGTTTATTGTATTGCTTTCAATTCTATTAACTTCAATAGCAGTTTCTTGAGAAGTTTTTGTTGTTTTTTCATCAACAACAACAACAATTGTTCGATCTTCGTAATAAGTGGGCGAATGTAACGGTATTCGAATACTGTCACTCTCCAATTCGTGTTTTTTCACACTATTATCATTAAATTTAAACTCTACTTTGGCAATTGTGTCAAAATTTGGTAAAATTTCACTCGAACTAGTACTCAAATCGTCTTTATTCTTCTCGCCTTTTTTCCTGAAACGTGAAAAGACCGATTTTTGTTGCGCCCCCTTGGACCGCTCCCTCAAACTCTCACTCCCCGTTTTTCGTTTGCATCCGGGGGGCGATTCGGGACTCCGGAAAAGCGACGCAAATGAGCTCTTCCGGGATAAAGATGGCGACGGTGTTTTGGACAATTGAGGTTTTGGACTTTCAATTTTAGGTTTTAGGTCCAAAGTGTCAGGTTTAGGCACAGTGGAGTCGTACATGTGGTCCGGTTTGAGTTTGATTCGGATGTATTGTGGGGAGGGGGAGGCGGATTTAGGTTTAGGTTTGGGTGGTGGTTCTTTGGTGTTAGGTTGGATCGTGGCTGATTTAACCTCCCGGAGTTTAGGTTTGGTGGTTTCAGGTTGGGGTAAAGGGCCTTTAAGGGGGATGTAAATGTATTCAACCCCACTTTTGGCCACAAATTTCCTCGGGATTTGATTGTGTGGTTGGGGTGGGGGTTGTGGTTCGTCCACTTTGATCGTAATATCGGTTTTTGGTACCCTTTTGGGTTTTGGTGGTGGTACCACTGCAATCCCTTCGGCTAGTACCGCCTGTGTTGGGTCTTGTTTCCGTGCAAGTAGTACCTTTTCAAGGACTTCTGCCTCAACTTTGGTCCCTTTTTGGCAAACCTTATTTTCTGGTGGTTTGGTACCACAAAAACTCGTTTCTAGTAACATTTTATGTGGTGAGGGTGATCGTGACAGCCCTGATTGGTTCGAAATAACTGACAATCGACTTTGACCCGAGCCTTGGCTTCCAATGCTTGACAATCGTGAAGTACGTCCCGAAATGCACAATAGCCCAATTTCGGAACTTTGGGAGTCTTTTCTCTGGTGTGTTTCTTTCTTTTTGGTGTCTTGGGGATCGTGGAAGTCCAATTCTTCGGTTGATGAACGTAAATCGAGGGCGCCTTCTTCGCGGAAGCCCAATGACAGTTTTGGGGCTTCATGTTCGGGGGTGCTGTCGCGACTGTCGTGATGGGAGGAACTACTTGCTCGTGAAATGTCAATTCGGGGGGTTAGTTTCTGGGGGCTGGTGAGGGGCATGGCCCCCAGGAGGCTTATGCCCGGGTGGTCGATTGGAGTCGCGTCTTCTCGGATACCTGGAGTAGCAATTATTTTTTAATTCAAACAATTCGTTTCTGAAATACAAATATAGAAACTCAAAGCAATTCTAGAATTTCAAAATTTTGAAAAGTTCTAAAAACCTCGGTTTAAAGATTTTGGGGCTTCTAGATTCTAAAATTTTTGGAATTACAAAATTCTAGACTTGACAGAAGATACAAAATTTCAAGACTAAATATTCAATTCCAGGTTCTATCTACTTCTAGAATTTCATCTAGATTAATTAATAATCTACAGTTACAAACTTCTAATCCAGAATTCTAGAATTTTTTGATTCTTGTTTTTATAATTACAAAATTTTAGGAATCTAGAATTGTAAATCTTAAGTTTTAGCAATTATTTAAGGTATGAAAAAGCTTCCAAAAACCTAGATTTTAAATA